GACCTGGTACAATCATGGGGCTGACCATTGCCTCACATTTCTTCTGAGAAATGTTTAATCCACACGTCTCTCCAAGGCAAGCAAGCAAAGCATTAAATTAGTGTGAAGATCTTTGCCAGCACCAATTTAAGTAAGAGGGACATAGTGTATTATGTGATTGGAATTTAGGCCAAGCAGGCAGGACATGGAGGTTAATGCCATTGTGCAGGCAACTCTGAGAGGAATGGCATGAGGCAGCAGCATGGGATTGGGGAATTCAGAATTTACATGCCCATTTGCCTAGAGAAGGTAGTGGCAGAACAAACCTACTCCCAGTGTTTATTCAATGGTTGGTTATTTTCCTGATACTCTCTTTAGTATGATTTTTTTGAATCAAACACCAAAATTCAGGTCATCATTGAAATTTAAGACTCAGGAAAAATCTTTTACTAGGGATTGTATTGTACTTTGTGCTGTATGACTCAGTTTTTGTTTGTAGTGATTTCCTACAGTTAATACCCATTTTTAACATAGCCTAGAGAATAGAATCAGTTAAGAGCAGCAGCTTTTTGTTTATAGTCAGTTCCATGTGTTGGAACTCTTCTCAAAACCATGAATACTGTTGCATTTGCTTAAGAAGTTTTAGCACTTCATAATCTGCCCTACATCCCCCTACATTCATGCTGCTCTGAGCACACAGGCTGGGACATGGAGAAGAAGGAACAGGCTGGGACAGGTGGGAGGAGAAAGCTGCTTTCATTGGGCTGCATTGTTACACTGTGATTTTAGGTATTTGTTATGACATAGGTGGAGTTCAGACCTGGGGACCCTTTTCTTTTGCCCTCAGCACTGTCCCTGAGAAGAATGAAATGAGCTGCTATAACTTCCTCAAAGAGCTTAAAATTTACATACATTTAAAACAAAAAAAAAAAATGCAACTCAGAAGCAAGGACATACAAATCAATTTAAATCACTTGCCTGAGGTCAAACAGCAATTCAGTGGCAGAGCCCCAAGTGAAGTCCAGGACCTCTGTCTCAAGGCTGATGCTCTGTCCCAATGTCTGCTTCTTTTCACAAGAAGCTGGTTTTCCAGGAAGCTGGAAGAAGCTTTAGGGAAGTCACCCTCTGCTTTCCATTTCGGTCATTCTTAAGATACATCTCAGTAACTGCTCTGTACAAGTAAGCTTGACCATGAATCGGCTGAAATTACTAAAAATGCTGTTAATGTACCAGTATTCCTTTAGAAGTTGACCTGCAGATACAAATCATGCCTTGCACATGTCACATTGTGCTAGGGATCATTGGATTCTGCTAAAAGACACATAGGTAGTAAAACACTGAAAAATTGCTAATCAGAAATTGTGAACAATTTTAAAAGAACATGAATATGCTCCCATTAAATATTTATTGAAAAGCTTGAATAATGAAAACAATGCTTAAAATAAAAGACTGTTAGTAGATAATTAATTAAGAAAACAGTAAATTGGTCCTAAATTGTTTGCAATGGATAGTTAGCCCATTTAATAAGAATTATCATCTTCCAGGCAAATGGCAGATAGCTGGTAAATAGATTTTTCCTGGGAACCTGCTAGAGGGGAGTGCAGCTCTTCACACATCTAAGTTTTAGTCACTTATCATTTTGAAGTCAATCCAGAGCTTCTGGCAGTTTATGTAATCTTAAGCCACTCTTCTTACCTTTGTTGCAGAATTTTCAATCATGTTGAGTCTTTTTTAGTTAGCATCACTGCTTGTTTCATTACGAAGGAAGCATAATTTTAGTAACAAGGTGTGCCTTTGGCTTTGAGTTAACATCTTGAGAGAGCAGCTAGGTTTTGTGCCCATCACAGAGCAGATGCTTTTAAAACACTCCTGTTAAGAATCCGTTCATATAACACCGTTTTGGCTGTGACTTCTTGGGCACTTTCTCCCACAGTTTACCAGACCAGTGATGATCAATGTGTCCTGCCCAAGAGTGAAGTGTCTGGGGCATCTTGCAGGGCCCAGAGGTGGCACTGGAGCCTTCATGTGGTGCTCTCTTGGGAATGGATCAAGTCACCACTGGTGGCTGACTCTTGCCACACTTGAGTGCTTTTTGCCAGAAGGATCTGGCAGACCATTCTAGGAAACTCCATCCCCCTCTCTGTTTTCCCATCTGGTTCAAGAGCTTAGCAGGAGAAATAAGGTATAGATGGAGAAACCTAAGGATTTAGGAAAGCGTGTGCTTCCTGTCATGCTCTGTAGGACCAGATTCTGGGATCATGTTGGCCTTATGCTGGTCTGATTCCAATTACTGCCATGCACTTAACATTAACTCTATGCCAGTATTTAGCTAAATGTAAATTAGGTTCTCCTTAAGCCTTGTGCATTTATCTAGTGAATAGTAAACAGGATTAGCAGAAGACAACTAATAAACTAACAATAATAATATGTTAGCTGTCCTCTCCCTACAGCCATCTTATTTCCTACTGCCTTTCCTATGGGATTACAGGTACTCATCTGGTCAGATGTTGTCCTGGTATGTTCCTACAGGGATTCCCTCTGAGTTCACTGCAACTTGCTCGTGTCTCTGGTCTACTACAGTGTATTCCTGAGTTAGCAGAGTGCAAAGAAATTATCTACAGGAGTTAAAAGGCGAGGAGAGAAGTGTTTTGTCCTGGGGGTTTGTTTTGTTTTTTTTTAAATAGGTGAGAAAGGACTATGACAAAAATCCTGCTCTAGCTCATGAATGCAACCCAACACCTGAATAACTAAAACCAGATTTTGGCCCAATTACTAGAAAGTAATTCTTCTCCTGTCTTTATGACCTGTACTGCTGTTAATAGGAAGCTTCAACTTAATAAAAAGGAATAAAATTCAGCCCTAGCTCAAAAGTCAGTTGATAAGGGGAAATGTTTTAACTTTAAAAAATACACACCCCACTCACAGAACCTTTGAGACCTGCAAATGTTTAAAAAGAAAAAATAAAACCTGCAGCAGCTGCAATTTGAAAAACAACACTGACGCTAAAAATAAGTAATTTTACTCATAAGTACCTCATAGCTTATTTGCAGATAGTTGTACACTCCGAGAAGAAGAAAAAAAAAATTGTAATAGGCCCTAGGTCAGCTGCATTGATTTAATGCATTACTTAGGCTGCCAGAGCAGAGGTAGAATCTCCTCGCACTGCATTAGGAGCGCCTCAAGCCTCCGTGACTCCTTTTGATCAAATCTCTGTGAAAGATGAGTGTCATGCCCTCTCCAAGCCAGCTGTGAGGGGACTGCCCTGCGACTGAGGAGCGCGCTGGAGCACAGCACTCCGGGGCAGCGAGGTGAGAGCTGGCTGCAGAGGTGAGAGGCAGACACAACTTCGTACTGTAGGTCTGGAGAACACCAAGGGGGAGGATCTTATTTCACTCCCCTGTGCACAGCCTGAGCATACATCAGACCTTGAGGTGCTCAGAGTCAGACAAGAGTAAAGAGGCGTGTGATGGTTCTGCCTTAGTACTTGTACAGGCAGGAGTGTTTCCAGTACTTCTTTGTACAACTCACTGAGGGAATGGGAAACTGTTTTATAGCTCTGGAAACATAAGCACAGTAAGAATGTCTGAGGTAAGGAAAGTTCTTTGCAGTTCTATATGAATGTATGTTTTTACTGTGCAACTTTTACTTGTGGCTATGCACTGTGGAGATATAAAAAATGTTGCAATGGTGTTGTTTTGGGTAATGAACAATGGGGATGAGAGCTTGTAGGGAGCTGTGCTCTCTATTTCTTAATTATGAAAAGATACTGTAAAAGTAGAAAACTAGTTTCTGTAAAAAAAAAAAAATCTGTCTTTTCTTTCTGCTGTTCATGTAAACAACTGTGTGACTTTCCTGTTCTACAGTAAGTAATGCAGAATTGCAGGCTGATTATAATAAGCAGAGCCATCACTTGTGTAATTGTTTTCCAATTGAAGTAGTAGCATGTAAATCATAAATACTTGACAATGTTTAATTGTACAAGTCCTCAATGTACATTAATAGCAGTAAAATCTGTGATTTTTGACTCAGATGTGTTTTGAGTCAAGTGCTTTAACCATATACATTATCATTATCATGACGTATAAATGCACTAGAGAGCAGACAACAATGTAATTTCACTATGAAGTTCTTTAGAAATTACCACTAAAGTGGAGTGTAATGTATGCCCTTTATGTACAGTTTATTTTTGACTATTTAGCATCCAGAAAATAAGGCAAGCAATTCTTTTCTTAGGATCAGTCTGTTTGTATTTTAGTGGGGGGGGGGAGCCGGGGTGGGGGGGAGGAGGTGGGTGGGTTTAAGTATGAGTGTGTGTTGTGTGTGTGTCTAGAGGGGGGGGTCGGGGTTTTTTAATATATTGTGCCAATTAAGTGTCTTGTGTTGTGATGCATTTAACTTATTTATTTGGATTTTTTTCATCACATAGAAAAATAAACATGGTTTAATTGTTAGCTCATACATAATGAGGTTTTGTTAGATGTGTTTAAGATGCAGCATTTTACTTTCTGGTTTATTAATTGGCCAAATACTTCCAGTTGTCTGTGTAACGAATTCTTGGTTTAAAAATGACGAGAGGGCAGATCACGAACCCAGGGGAGGACTACTGATATACACAGGCTGTGGTTTATCCTTCTGTAAAATCCTACAGATAAAAAGTGACACTTTTTTCTTCTTTTCTGTTTTTTCCCCCCTTTTTCATTTTTAGATATTTTTCAGTTTGAATAACCTGCAAGCCAGGCAACATTCTGGTATTTTAGGGATGTGGGAGAGAGAAAATAAAATTGACTAGTTTTGTTTTAACTTAAAACAAACCATTGTTTGAAAGGCATTTAACAGTCAATTTTCACATCTGATCTGAAGTTGGATTTTATTGTGCTCGTTTAGTTGAGATTGTTGTTCAAGCAATTCCATATAAATTTTTGTAATTCATGTAACTACTTGGCTTCTTGAACCTCAAGAGCTGATTGTTTGTCTTATCTTTTGGTGAGCTAACTCTGCGTTATGTTGCAAAACCTTGGGGCATGTTGTGTTTCTTCGTGTTCCTGCAGTCTGCAAGTGAAGTCAGCTTCATTAGTTTCATGATGGCACATCAGTACATGGCTGGTGTTGCCGCTTCCTTCAAGCTACTCCCGGAGCATGATCTGGGCTGCCTTGGTTTGGATAAGCTTGTAAGGATTTGTCAGCCAGATGTGACAAGATTGTCAAGAGGCAAGTAAAGAAGGAGATCTGATATTAATCAGTGCATAGCTTGGAGCCAAACTTTCTCAAATGCAGTGTAGTAACATGTTCTTCTCATTTACTGCTTCTCTTTGTGGCTATAGAACTGCCACTGTCTGAGTTTGACGGTTAAAAGGGATGCCAGCTAATAGTCTTTAATTGTAAGGATACAGTTCTAGGTGGGAAAAGATCATATGCTTCTATTTTTAACATCCTTTTGGAAAATAAGTGCAGTTTGTTGTAAGATATGCAAGCGTTATGTTAGACAAGAGTCTCTGTTTCTGTCCTTTGGCTTTAAAACAGTGAAATTGTGGCTCAGCTCGCAGTGCTAGAGGAGTGGGAGGTGGGGGAGTCTCACTCCACTCCAGGTCATGGGGCAAAGTGGGTCCATCATTATTTTAACTGCTAACAACACTGCGTGTTGGTTTGCTTTGTTCTAGTGATTAGAACAATATACACTGAAGAATACCTTTCTAATTGCTCCTTTTACAGAAAAGGGAAAAATATGGAAGAACGTTTTGAAGAACGTATTAGATATTGCACAAGATTATTTACCATTATATGTATAGTGCAGATAGTGGGGTTTTTTAATAATCAGTGTAATTGTGCAATTCTGTTTGAATTAAGCGCTAGAATTTTGAACCGTTTGCAGCTTAATCAGACTTTTAACAATAAGTGAACACGTAAAAAAATAACTAATCTTATGGAAAATATATTTTTGTTATGCTTAATATATTTATATAGATTTTTGCTTGATTGATTTCTTAAAAGTAGTTATTCTGTTTATTCTTTGAACTACTGAACCATCTGCAACCTATTCAGAACCCTAAGAATAATGGTATCTGCAAACATATACAAACATTTGGGAGAGCTGAATCTTCATAGAAATAGGAGAAATTATTACAAATACTGAGTCACTTCACAGGCTTTTACTTGAACTTCTGCCTCCTAAGTCTGAGGTGAGGTTTGGCCTTTTGATACCAAATGTCTTGACTTCCAGCTTCCGTGTCTGTTCGTGATACTGTTAAAAGATCTGTTCCTACATATTGAGCATGTCATTCCATTTTCAATCCAACAAGCCAGTGAATTATTTGGTTTGCAGTAATAAAGACTTCATTACAATGATGCTAAATACACCTCTGATAAAAATAGAAGTGTTCTTGTTTTGGTTTAGATTACAGCTTTTGTTCCAGATATGTGTTCTAAAAGCATTTTGGGATGATTTAGCATTTAGTAAACATTTTTAATGCAGATTTGAGCTGAAGTTTAGGTATGGATCTTGAATTCATTATTCCATAAAATATCAACCAAAAGTAAGGGAGAAAAATTGATTTTGCCCTCTGGGTCATCTCCTGTCCTTTCTGGCTTCAGTGGTGCAGTAACTCTCACAGTTCCTATGGCTGGAAACCAGCAGGTTTTGTCCTAGCAGATGCTACAGTTTAAGTTTTACAGCAAATGTCATTGCCTGTCTTCTTTTCAGTTTTTATTGCTTATTATTTTTTTGCTGTCATTTAAAAAAATCCTAGAGGTTGAAATTTCAGTATTCAGACTCAAAAAATATTATTGAGGGAATGAGGAAAAGTGGCAGTTTTTAACTGACTTCGGTCATTTTAGTATAAAGAACAATATTTCGTTCCACACTTTAAAACCATTAGAAAATTTAAACAAAGAGGGGAAAAATACAAAAAAGAAAAATGTGGATTTTTTTTTTTTTTACTTCAAATTTCAAATATAAAAGATCGTCAGTGAAAAATTGGTATTTTTTCATGTGAGAGAAACTGATGTCTGAAAGCCAGGTGAAAATTTCCTCACCTGTGTTCAATAAAAAGGAATACTGAGTTTTAAATTGTGAAATTACCAATGGAGCTACACTGTTGCGTAAAATATTGCATAACTGTAGCACCATAGATAATATCGTGTATGTGTACAAATAGTGTTTGGGTTTAAAATTTATGAAATTGCATTAAATGGAATTGTGTAACACTAAATATTTCAGAGAGCTGTTATTTCACTTTTATTCTTTAATCCGTGTCTTCAGTCCGTAACAGGAAAAAGGAAGAGATTTTAAGCATGTATATTTTATGGCTTTGAGACTTAAGCAGCGGTGCGAGGAGCTGAAAAATTTAGGATTGTCTTTAAAACATTAACTCATCCACATTGCACACATGCACCATTTTATAAAATACATGAAGAGTTAAGGACATATTTTAAAGGCCTTGCAATTGATATATTCTAATATTCCTCATTTCTCTGATACTTGTGCATTTGTGTTAATAACACTTCTTGCATAGGGCTTGGAGTTAAATATTTAATTCAGCTGCAGTTCGTGGCTAGATCTGTAGCTTCAACATTTAGTGTGTTATGCTTAGTATGTCAGTATGGATAAGCAGTATGGGCACAACTTACTTGTTAGATTAAGTAGCATCTAGTGCTTTATTGCATATAATTTCACACCCTTTTTATCCAGTGACTCGCCTTTACCCTTAAAGTCTGACCAGTTTTTCTTATCAATATGCAGCAATCTGTTACTTATTTTTGAAATGCACTAATAAGAACGATTTTTCCATAAATTTATTGAAAGGGGACATTACTTTAGTATCTCATGATAGATACACTGCTTAATACCAGCAAATGTTTCTGACCTATGCAGGCTAGGGCAGGTATGCTGTGGGAACTGTAGCATCACAGTCTGTTTCAGAATCAAAAGTAAATAACACTAAGATAACGATAACATGATGTTTTTCCTTCCTCAATTTGTATTTCTGTTTTCATTTCCAAACCAAACCATAAAAGAGCCTCTGCCTATGTCCCTGAGGTGGACCGAGCTGTCTGTCAGCACTTACCTGTAGTTAACAAGTGAGATTAATTGCAGCATAAGCCAGTCTATCTACAGCCACGCTGCTGAATGGCAAAATGAAGTTCTACTGCCCAGTGCTTTTTGTTTAGAGTAGCACTCGAGTGTGTGTGCTCACGCTCACATACACACACACACACGAATTCTTCTCTCTTTATAATTATTTTGACAGTGCCATTAACAAGAGTTGCCCTAAGGGGCCCTGTAGGGTAAGTGACATGCATGAGGAGTGATTTTCATCCCACAAGTTATGCTGTGATTAAAGCCTGGCCTTGCAGCGTGGCTGCCTTTCTCTGAAGCAGCTCCTTGTGCTTCCTCGCCCGCCGCAGTGCCCGGGACTGCCCCGAGCTCCTCTCCCTCTGCCACGAGAGCTGCCACGGGGCCCCAGCCAGCCCTGGCTTGTGAGGACTGTCAGCTCAGTCTCTTGTCTCAGCTTCTCACTTCTAGGACTCTTCTCACATATCAAAAATTTTTAATGAAGTGGTGACATGTGGACTGTCTTTTAAATCCATAAGAAAGGTTGATTTGACAGAGTGGTGCCATCCTGTGAAGGTATTGTCTAATTTTACTTCTACCTTACTGAGCTCATTCACTCTCCTCACATTTTTGTCTGTTTTTGAGGACATTTTAGTCAATTATTAAAAGGACAATTAAACATTCTCAACTCAAAGTGCTCAGTTGCCCCCACAAGAGAGAGATTTGGTCAAATTCTAGGCCAAAATTTGTATTCAGCCCCACTGAGGGGGAGGGTAATGGAGTAATGCAATTTGCTGCAGGCTCTGGGTTGTAAATATCCTGATTATGTGTCGTCTTAGGCTGTGGATGTTTAAAAGGAGGTCAGGTTTTGGTATCTGACCCCAAATAAACAGTATGGATATATACATAAGGATCCAGATAATTAATGGGTTGTATTCCATCGTCTTATCTAGAAAATGTATTCAGCTTGTGGCCTTTGTGTACTTCTAGAATAAAAATCATAAGATAATTCTCCCACAGAACGGGGTAGTGGGAGTCGAGTGGTAGCTACACCAGCCAAAATTTTCAGTAGAATAGGGTAAGATCAACTTCTAAATCAATGGTTGGCCTCTGAAACAAAAGCTTTTTGTCTGGACGTTTCAAATGTTCTTGCACCTCCTAAACTTGGTAGGAATAAATGGTTGGTGTGAATGAAAACCAGCCAGATTACCAAGGAGCCATTGTCAGATTAGGAACTGAGCTGTGAGTGTAACTTTGTGTTTAGTGGCACTGTAAAAAACAAATTGTAGCCCACCTCCACCTTTCCCATCTGTCTCCTAATCGGTCTCTTAAGCAGGAGACAGTAATTTTCCTAAATTATTTTACTAATAAGAAGTTTGTCATATGAATCATCTCAGGCCAGCATTTTTAATGTGTCTGAATGGAGGAGGTTGGAGCTATTTGGTCAGCTGTTTACTCTGTGACATCTGTTTACAAATTTTCTCTACTTAATTAAAAGCTAATAATACAGAAGATATCAGATATGCTTTCTCGATACAACAGGCTGCAGAGCTGGTTTGCTTTTTAGGAAAGTTATTTGCTGTTACTTATGTTTATTAAATAACTATTAACAGCAGCTGTTACTTTGTAAAAAACATGTTTTTTGATATAAGACTGTGGAAGTAATATGTGCATTCAGTCCAATATAATTAGAAATCTTATTTTTCTTATTTTAATAATTTTGTGTAATTAATCATTTTAAATATTTCTAAGCTTTAGTATAGAAATAATAGAACTTGAATTAAGCAAGTGTAGTGGATTCGGCAGAAATGTACTTGAGTGGAAATCCCTTTGTTTTGGGGGCTCAGACTGTGAAAGGCAGGCAGTGTTTCTGTGCTGTGGTGGTGAGGAACTTTCCAGACCTTAAACACGTGACAGAAGGAGCCACCACAATTCTGAGCTGAACACATGCAAGTTGTAGCATGGGCCAAGTCTTTGTGCAGAGTAACTCTCAGCTGGGCCTTGCTGTCAGACCTGTGCACATCAGTGTGCTGCAGTGCACTGTCTTCCCTTTTCCCATTCCCACTGTGTCTTCCCAGCTCCCCTTACAGGCAACACAGGGCTTCCATATTCTGTCCATCCTCCAGGCATCTTGTTACCTCTTTGAAGTGAGCATGTCAGG